GACTCAGGGACAAGTTACAATGCAAAGACTGTGCCAAGTGTATGTCTATTCCAAACCAATGATAATCGAATAGTTTGAGTTTAAGAAAATGGACCCTGAATAGAAATTAGGTCACAGTCATAAAATATTGATTTTTTTTAAAGAAGGATTTGGAGAATGTTAGGAACATGCAGTGTACTCCATCCATTAGTTTCGATAAAGTTTTAGTTCTCAGTCATGACAGAAAGCAGTCTGGGAGAGTGTCAGAGGAAATGAAAGTTAACTACTTGTCATTGTGACAGCACACCACTGCACACAACAAAATGTGACCTTGGTTTTTAACCCATCACCAAAGTGAACAGTGGGCAGCTTTAAGCGCCCGGAGAGCAGTGAGTGGGAACGGTGCCTTGCTCAGAGCACCTCTGTGGTAACTTGGCAGCTGAACCGAACCTGAAGCCTTCCGGACCCAAGTCCGCTTCCTTAACCACTAAGCGACCACTGCCCAGAAGCTCAGTTAGTTGTATTCAGCTTCAGTCCAGTATTGTCACTTTTAAACATGGCCAAAATATATCCATCCAAACCCAAATTTAAATTGCTGGACATGTTTATATAGATAGAATTATGGAATGTTTATGCATGTTGGTTAAATAAAACCCAATCACTTACAAAGTCTTGTTATTTTTTAATGAGTAAGACTTGAATACTTGAAGCTCCCATCAAAGTGGTTTGCTGACACCTATACTTCACATCTGCCATGCATTTACAAGACTAGTATTGGGTTTGCCAGAACAGGAGCTGGTACCACCACCACCATGGCTTTGTGATATTTCTTCCTCGCAAAGAGATCTATCCAACTGCAATGTGCAGCTTTCTGATTTTCATGCTTTGTTCAATTTACACTAGTACTAGTACCAATCTTGGTCTTGAGGTTTAACAGTACAGTAGGATGAGATCAAACCATATTCACTGCACACTACTTGACAATGAACATGCACTGCTCTTATTCCACCCTGAGATCCTTTTTCTCTCTAAGCAAGACTTTTCTCATCTTCAAGCTAGAGTGTTCAGTACATTTGCGACAAAGTGGTAAGCAAAAGTTTGGAACCCAAAATTTTTGTTATTGTGAACAATTTAGCAAGTAGATTATAAATACTTATTGTAAGTATTCAATCTTTCGATTCTTGTTTGAGGGATTTTGGCCCTTTTGGACAAAAGTCTTCTGGTTTAGTAAGGTCTGGAGCTGTCTTGCACTTGGCACTGCCCTTTTAAGATCTATCCACAGATTTTCAATGATGTTTAGGTCAAGAGACAGTGAAAACCATGGCAAAACACTTGCCTGCACCTCTTAAAATAGTCCATTATGGATTCTGAAGTGTGTTTGTGGCCATCATCCATTTGTAGAAGCCATCCACTTTTTAACTTTTTACAGATGGTGTTACATTTGCTTCCAGAATTCTTTGGAAAACTTTTTACATTTGCTTCCAGAATTCTTTGGAATTTAATTAAATCCATTCTTCCATCTACCCATGAAATGTTCCTTGTACCACTGGCTGCATTAAAACCCTAAAGCATTCCACCATATTTAACATGTGGACCAATGTTCTTTTCATGAAATTCTGTGCCTTGGTTCTCCAAACATACCTTTACTCATTCAGGCGAAAGGGTTTTATTTTAAACTCATCAATACACAGGACTTGTTTCCAAAATGCATCAGGCTTGTTCAAATGTTCAGATGCAAAGTTCAGATGCTGAATTTTGTGGTGAAGACGCAGGCTTTCTTCTTATGACACTTGACATGAAGACCATATTTGTGATAAATTGCAGAACAGTGTACCAAAACTCCAGTGTCTCCCAAGTCTTGCTGGAAGTCTCTCGCAATAAAATGGGGGTTCTGACTTGCTTTTCTCGCAATCGAATGAGCAGCTCTTGCTGATATTTTTCTTGGTCTTCCAGACATGCTTTGACTTCCATTGTTCCTATCAACTGCCATTTCTTTGGTACATTTTTCGAACAGAGAAAATTGGTATGTGAAAACACTTCACTATCTTCTTATAGCCTTCTCCTACTTTTTAGGCATCAATCCTTTTCAGTTTCAGAGTTCTAAGCAACTGCTTAGTGGAACCCAAGGCTCCTGATTGTTGGGACAAGGTCAGAGGGGTCTTGGTATTTATAAAGCTTTGAAACAGTGATTGTGATGAAGCCATGGCCCTATCAGGCTAATTAAAGTTTCACACACCTATGTCAAGCTGTGATACTTGCCGAGGGGGTTGGGGGTTATTTTATCTTCCACTTCCACCTATTTGTTCACAGTAACAGAAATCTTCACCAACTATGCCCAAACTTCTGCATACCGCTGCATCTGTTCTAATCTCTCAAGTTGTCTGGGACACCTTTGTAGTTTGGTTTGATTGAAAGGTTTCACACAGCTTGACAATGATGTCAACTCCAAGATCAAATAAAGTGTTTTCTCAGTGCCACCTTCATACACTAGATAATCACATTCCAGAGGAAAAGCAGTAGCCCCAAATCTGACCTGATCAGGCTTCAGGTGCCTCTGAAAGACACTATTTGCTCATTAAAGGAGTTGTGCTCTTTTGGGTTGACCTTCAGACACTGTTTTCAAAACACATCAAGCCATCCAGTCAAGTGTAGAGATGCCCAGATGGCCTGAAAACGTTGCATGGTACACTTTGTGTAGTTTTCCCAGTTAGCATGAAACAGTTGGCGAATGCAAATGAAGTTCCAGCTCAAACAGTTGTTTGAACATTGCTGTGATTTGCACATTTCTGAAAACTGTACAAATTTGTTCACTTCTTTAGTCAAGCATTTCTGCTGTGATAATCCTTTTGAAATACTCTGGTGGAAAATGGAGGTTGTCTGATGGTGTGGCACTTGGTTATTTAAATTAACACTTTAAATGTTTCATTCTCCAAGAAAACCTAACATCACCTCCATCATCTTTGTTGGGGAGGTGTCCTCAGGGTCATCAAGGGTATTTATCTGATCTACCTGCACAATCTTCAAATTGGCCTAAAGGACTGCCAGTGCTTCCTTAACCCTATACAGCTTCTTTCCCTTTTCTGATCTAACATATGTTAAAAATACATGGATACAATAAGAAAAAGCTTTCAAAAATTGCTAGCACACCATCATTTGGTGACTTGTGGCACAAAGAAAAGTTACACGTGGGTTAAGTTACACGTGAGTCATGACGACCAGACGTCATGACTCACCACGATGTTCAGCCCTCGCCAACAAGTTAAAGTTAAGGATAAAGCTGGATAGGGTACTTTCGAGGACTTTTACAGGGCTTGTTACACCTGTGTCACTTTCATTGTGGGTGCATTGTTACAACTATGTCACTACTGTATGTAGTTAAAAAGGAAATAATAGCAGCTGAGTAAATGCATAGACACTTACCCTTGAGGTTGTGCATTTGCCCCAGGTGCCATCTTGGCAGTAGAAACAGCAGCATTTGCAGCAGCAGCGAGTGCCTGATGAAAACAAAAATATGTTAATACTCTTACCTTTAAAACTACCATAAAATACAGGTACCCCAAAAGCAAACAAAGTGTATCCTACCTCCTGTTTCTTTTTGTTCTCTGTTGCCTGATTGGCCTCACCAAACTTTTTAGATAGTCTTGCAATTTTGGCCTTTAAAGAGCAGAAAAAACAAGCTGATGTTATTTGCTGAATAAGCACATTTTGGCATGGAAATACATGGGCCCTAATGTTCATTTAGTAGCAAAATTCATTTGGAGCATTCATACTTAATAATAACTGTATTTACTTACTTGGAGTGAGTTGATGGCAGTTTGGTGTTTGCTGGCACATTCAATCTTATCCACTCTCTCCTTGAGTTCTTGAAAATCTTTCTCAAATATTGTTAGTTCCAGGACCTTCAAATGTTTTTCCACAAGCTGTTGTACAATCTAATGTAGAAAGACGAGTATGAGCAGACAGAATTATGTACACATTTCCAGCTAGGCAATAATAATTATCAGGCAATAATTACATTTACCAAAATAATAGGAGACATACCTTTTCAAGTTTCTGGTGACTACCAGCTTTGGTGCTAAATTTAAGTTCTAGTTGTGCCTCAAACTCCATCTTGGGCCTTTTTCCTTCTCTTTTCACAGAATTTCTATCCAATTTGGTTTCCTCGGATAAAGTGCGTTTCAGCCCCGAGGTTGAGCACGTCTCCTCTGCAACTATTTAGAAGTAATGAAGAAAATATTTCTTACATGTTTGATGTCTGTTATATGCTCACCATCAAAATCAGATTAAATATCCACCAGTGATTAGACATTTTATCTGCTAATGTTGCATTTCTGTTCTTGTCCGAGTTCAGTGTTTATAACAACAAACATAAATTTAAAAAAAATTTTGATTTGCTTTTTTTTTTTAAAGGTCTTAAATAAATCATGTCATTTAATACCCACTTCAATACCTGTACATGATGGTGGGGTGGACGAGGGGCGAGATGGTTTTCTGGTAGTTTCAACCTCCATTTCTTCCTCTTTGGTTTTTTCTTCCATCATTACCTCACGGACCGGTGTTTTCACATCTCCATCTTTGTCGTTCTTGATGTTTACCTTAACTTCCTGTTTAAGAGCTCCATCAGAAGACATGGGAGAGCACTCGGATTTAACAGACAGCTTTTCAAGTTTTCCTGTGTCTGTGGAAGTTTCTTGGTCCATGGTCTCTGTAGTGTCATTAAGCGTATCCACAGGTTCTGCACGGTCAGATATTGGAGGTGGTTGAGCTGAACTGGAAGCCGAAGCTTTAACAGGCTCCTTTGTAGAATCAGCAACTACGTCTTTTGTTTTTGGTGTTGTTTTCTTCTGCTCCTGCATAATATGAAAAAAAAATAAAATATATATATATATATAAAAAAATAAATACTATACTATTACTATAGTATATTACTATACTATTGGTTTAAGAGTGAATTATTGACTTCAGTCAATTAAACTTCATGGTAAATATTTAGAAAGACAAGTTACCTCTTTCTTATCCACCTCTATAACCTTGTCTTTTTCCTTGCTTTCCTCAGAGTCTGTTGGTGTTGATGAAACAGGGTCATTTAATGAAGGAGATGTAGGGCCATTCTTATCCTTTTCCTCCTCTGTAATCGTTTTCATTTCAAAGTTTATGGAATGGAATGGTGAAGTTGGTGTTGCAGGATTTTCTTCCTTTGCTTTGGGACTTTGTGAAGAGGAAGGGGAGGGTGAAAGACTCAAGGATAAGAAAGGAGCAGGAGAGTCTGGTGATGCGGCATTGGGAGAGTTTGACTCTAAGGCGTTTGTTTGCTCCTTTTCACCCGTAATTGGTCCATCGTCTTTGTGAGTCCCATTCATTAAAGGTGGTGGAGATGGGTTGGACAAACCTGAAGATGCTGTCGACAAAGTAGTATGAAGACCCTCAAGTTGCTGTCGATCACTTATCTTCATTGTCTTTCTGGCACGAAATATTTTCTTTTTCTCTTCCGTCACAACAACCTCCATTGCTACCTGTGGCTTGGACATGGTGAGGACAAGATAGAACATAAGACACTAAAGGCATCAATGAGTCCTAATTAAATACAAAACAGCACAGAAGTCTAGCTGAGATGCAGGAGTAAATATTACCCCAGCTCTGGTTAATAAACCTCTGCTGGATATGACGCACTGCATAGTTCAATAATTGTTGCAGAATTGCACAGGAAACACAAGAGGTCACTGTAGAGCCCTGGGTTTTTCTTATTTTCTAGAAGGTTCTTTTTCCTCAGAGGTCTGCATTCCAAGCAGGTCGCTTTCTCTAGACCATACTACTTACTGTCATAATTGTGACATAGAATTCAAATAAAATCAGGAAAACTCTTGTAGCCTAGTTAAACACTGCTAAATCTGCCTCAGAAACAAAAGTCAAAGAGCAGTTCAGTGTATCAAAACCCTTTTTCTAAACCTGTCTGAAATGACTGCCTTAACAGATTCATTTTCTCTTCATTTTTTGTTAAAAGTTATGGATTGTATGATTACCAAGCCAGGGTCTAGAGCACATAAGTGACATTAAAATTAACAACAGCAGCAACCCGATCTCCCTCCCATCCCCCCATCATCCTATTGGTTAACTCCTCAGCCAATAAGAAATGACAAATTCAGACAGTGTTGGCAGCAGCAAAGGGGTTATGCAAAAACAAGAAGGCCTTGTATTCTGTATATACATTTTACAATGTTCATGAATCAGTAAAATATTACAAAGTATTTTACATCGGGGTCTTATATGACTGCGCACTGTGTGCTGCAGAGGGCTGCTCAACAGTGCATCAAAATACTAATTTTGCACTCTGTAGCACTAAAGAACTGTGGTAAGACCATATTGGATGAAACTTTCTGTAGCAAAGCTAAAATCAAATGACTCACCTTTAAGCTGAAAAGAACCTGGTCATAGGATTTACAAAAGTCCTTCAACAACCTGAAACATAAAAAAGTAACTTTAGTTAATTGCTGTGTACTAAGTATGTCAGGACAACAATAGCTACTAAACAAATCAAGTATTTTCAGCAATTTGTAATATGCAGAAATATTCTAATGGGTAGCTATATTTAGTTATTTTTCACATCTCATCTGGGAAGAGCATCAACCTGCTCTGGTTTTACTCTGATAGAGTCTAGCCTTTACCTGTTGACCTGAAAAACTGAAATTAACAGTCATCTGGAAAGTCATACTTTCAATTTTATCCTAACTTAACAATAAGATTCATGTTTATCCAAAAATAATGCATTCACAGAGAAGGCCATGGAGTGAGAGTACACTCCAGAGTGAAAATCTGAGCTTTACATTACAATGCTTGCACTTATGCTCGGAAGTGAGAGCTATTTCTACTCTTCAGTCGTATCAGCAAGTATGATCCATGCAAGGATCTTATATTTCTCATCGTTAAAAGTAGTAATGTTTGAGAAAGAAATATATATACGCTGCTCAAAATATAATGGAGAAAAAAAATCTGCAAGAATAAATAATGGGCAGAGTAAATATCAAGTATTATTTCAGGATCACCACACATTCCAATGGTATTGCACACTGCGCAGACTACGGCACACCCCTCCCCCACCCTGCTGCCTCGTTTACTGCGCCTGGAATCAGTGCAGAATCTCAAAATGGCACCTCAGCTATTGCTGCCAGGCTAACCTTCTTCTAGCTAGCTGCGTAGGATTTCCAAAATATAGTGTCACAGCATCACGAGAACCAAAAAGGGTTTTCCATTTATTCTAAGGCTTCATAAAAGTTAACTTCCAAAAAGCCTTTATTCTAAGGCTTCATAAAAGTTAACAAAATGCAAATACCAAACGAATAAAACAAAAAAAAACAACAATCCCATGTTGACATTTAAAAAAAATACAACCCAAGATATCCTTTAAATTTGTCAGCCCTCAAGTTGTAAAATGCTTTTTGTTCATATTTTTCTCTTGTGCTTCTAAAATGAAGACGAAAAATTGTGTCATTTTAGAACATTGACAACTGATCGGATAAACAAGATATGAAAGATAACAACTGCTAGCTCCCAAAAACGTATCCACTACCATGTCTGCAAAATTATACATGCATACAACAATACTTTAACGAACTTAAGGCTAGCCTTGGCTAAGATTCAATTTAAGGTTTAGCTGTATCGAAACAAGTTTCAGCAAACTTCAGCGAGACCAACTTGTCAGGTTTGAAAGACTGAATCGTGCAGCAACAACACCATCCTTAAGCTACCAATCACAAATGCCAAACCTGATGGTTGATAAATTTCAATAATATAATAATAATATCATGATTCCAATGGCCTGGCATAGCTGACAACACGTCAACAATGTAAGCACCCAAAAATTCTAACCATTAAAACTTTCGCAGAATACAGTGGAACGATGTTTTATTAGGATACCAAACATGTACTCTTTCTAAAAGCAATTGGTATAAACGCAAAATATATTTGTGTATATTTGTGTTCTACTGAAGTCATTACGGCACAGAAAATAATGGTTGTAACAACCTCTAACACCTGGGTTTATTATGCTTGTTAGCAATGCCACTGGTACTGTAAAAATAATTATGGTTAAAAACGAGACTAACCATCGCATTACATGGTGATGTTTTGCACAGAAAAAGCTAGGTGAGAAACCAAACCTGAAGAAATCTATTTCTTTCTCACCTAGCAAGACTAACTCCACCGTAAGCTTGATGAAAGAGCACAGTTGTAAAACCTGTCAATTAATTCAACAGAGGGAGAGGGGAAAAAGCATGCACTTAAGAAGGGATTTTTTTTTCAACCTTTTGCTGGATGTCTAGGTTTGCGGCCTTCCATGTATTTGTTGATTGTGGCAGCCATGAGCAGCTGAAAGACCAACAGAGAACATAAAAGAAAGGAGGAGGAGCTCAGTAAGGGCTAGTCCATTTTTTTCCTCACGAAGGTATGTTCTACTAAGACTGTGGTTTATCTGAGCACATAATAAATAAATGCCAGAACCCTTAAAACACTAAAACACATTTCCCGAGAAAGTAGTGTGCTGTGGTCGACAAGGAAACCTTTTTCCAGTCTGCTGGCAGTTTTAGAGTGTCTGATGTATTTCTTTAATTTTGACATAGCCTTTTATTGTTCTTTTATATACACTACTATAGTGCATTTCATTTGCTATATAAGATTTTACTGTACTATTTGTTTCCCATCATAACCAATTCTTGCTAGTAGCGCACTGAGGGAAGTACAAAGTAGGGGTTGCCTAGCAACTCCCATCCCCCACTGTGAACTAGCACAGTCTTGTCCACAGTATGGAAAGCTACAGCAGACTTGGATGAAACCATTTTGTAAAAAGTAGAGGGGGGTTGTCCTTTCCAAATGATACTACAGGAAAAGCTTATCAGATTTAAAATGGTTAAGGATAACACTGTAAAGCAAGCGTATCAATAGAGTGATGTTCCTCATCTGCCTGTTTATGTTTTTTCCTCACATTACTGTGAGCAAGTTTGTAGTCCTGAAGTTGTTTTATTATTATGATAACAAGACAAAAGGAAAGGATGTTAGGTTATGGTGATCTTTGGGCTTGGTGACAAAATAATAATTCTCTACCTTTAATCTGTGTATGATATCTGTAATGTACTACTGTCGTTTCACAAGAGCTGACTGACCCCTCCAGATAGGGGTAGGTAAGCTGGTGGTTAGATGGTTACATTAAGACTAACATTGAGACCAACTATAAAAATGTTTGTTGTTGGGCTTATTACGATAGAAATACATATTACATAGAGAGACTTTCTTTGTGGAACTTCCATGTGTGCATGGGTTTCCCCTTACCCTTACTTTGATTTCCTCCCCCAAACACAAGTGGAAATAAGTAAGGTTTATGACCCAAATAAGTGTGAACAGTTCTGTCTCCAAATGTGACTTGGTAACGTGCAGGTGACCTGTCTAGAGTATACCCTGAATTTACCTGCAACTGGCTTTGGTTTTGCTGGGGTACAAAATTCTACCTGCACAGTGATCAAACTTACTCCCTCCCCAACATCCAGCCACAAAAACAGTTATGAATGAAGGCAAGTTTGAAATTGCATTTCAGTTCAATTGTAGGTTTGTGGCATTTCTCTATTAGGGAAATGATTATTGGCACATTTCTAATGGCCAAAAGCAAGCTAGGAGGTAGTGTAAAGGCACAAAGCTGCACAAACTCCCCTATAGCCAAGACCTAGCTAGCAGTGCTCATCTAACGCTAAAGTGCACACCCACAGCGCAATCAAGCTCAGAGTCTGCTGCACACACCCTCCCCCACCTTCCTGCCTCAGAGTCTGGCTCTCCTTCTCTCTGCTGAGCGCACTCACACACACACACACACACTTGATCTCTTTCAACCTCCGGAACAACCTCTCCTAGTAAAGTATGGACTGAACCATTGTAGCACAGAAGGTTTATGCGGTACATTGCATAACCAAAGTCATTAGAAGGACAGATATTCAAGTATTTTTTTGGCTAGTTACTTGAACAGATTTGGGGTTTTTTTTCATGAAGCACAGAATATTGTTTAAATAACAAACTAAAATAACTTAAGTAACTTAAATAAGGGAAGCCATGTCTTTCAAAAACTCTTATCATTTAAGTTTCTCGTGTTTTGTGTGTACAAGCAGAAAGGAAAAATGTGTTGCAACGGTTCTATGCTAGCTGTACGAAGCAAAGAATTGGAGCTGTCGACACATGAAGCAGCCTTGATCCACCCAGCCTCTCCCTTAACGGGGTGTTATCAGGAAGACTAAACCATTGCAAGTGGGGGTGTTTCTGAATCAGAAAAAACAAAGGACATCTATTATAATCCTAAATAATAACTACTTACTGCTTTGTTACCTACTTCATGGCAATTTGAATCAGGATTCTGATAAATAAAAACGTCTGACTTTCATTTTTGACCATGCTAATGGAAACAGAGGGGACAGTAGCTCAGACATGTAAATTGACTCCAATTAAAACACAACCTGTCTCCTCCAAAAGTCCTGTTTAGAGTAAATTACTTGTGTGTAAATTCTACCCCCCACCTCACTCATTCTTCTACTGCAAAATAAAACAATGTTCGTTCTCTGCCCATCCCCCTTTCTGCTACTGCAGAAACATAAAATGGCCACCAGCGCTGCTGTGAGAGAAGCATACTGAGCACAGACTGAGTAGATCCTTTTAACAAGCCCCGCCTACCAGCACCAAGCACAGTGTATCTGTAGAAAGTTGTACAGAAATCTTGAAGGAAAATATGACAAAACAGAATCCTAGATCAGAACATTAGATTTACCTATGTGGTCTCTTACACTATTCCCAACTGTACTGGACTGTGGTTTTTCAATTGTCAGAGCACACTGTTATGACAGAGCTACTGTTGTAGCTAGGTCTACAACAGTTAACACACCTAATCCAACACACAGCCAGGTTTCGTTTTAGGACTCCACTTCTAGGTAACTGACAAGTTAAGCATGTTCAGTGGAAGGAACTTTGTTCGTTTTGTTTATGCCTGATACTTCAATGAAAGATAGGTAGAGGGTACATTGTTGGTATGAGTTACTTATTAACGAAGTCCAAAAAAATCTGTTCATGGACCTTTTAAATTGGAATTGAGTAGAAAAATATCAGCAAAACAGACCAGAGACTGCACTCCAAAATTACTGCGTAGTGTGCGCAGTCTTTTCTGCCCCTCCCCCAGCAAATGCATCTGGAATCACAGAGGCTCAAAATGGCTACCTTCCCCATGTGGTTCAATTCCTAAATAATAAAACATTTAAAAAACATGCAACGAGCAGGAGATAAATAAACCTGATCCATTTAGCAAGCCTTAAGTAAAAAAGTGCTTTTTTGTTTATCTCAAGTGACTTGGTTAAAGTTTTGCATCACTAGGTTAGAGGATCTAGCGGACTTTAGTCGGTGCTTGTTAGCAACTTTTTTTTCTCGTTTTGCCCATCAACCACAATTACTCAAAGAAAATCACGAAACTCTAGGAAATAAAAACAAACCCACTTTTCATAAAGAACGTGGTAGTGTCAACATCTAACAGTTGCGATCTGGTGTTTAGTCATTTATGTCAGAAAAAATGCACAAAGCAAGCAAAGGCACCAAGAGAAAACAGAAGTTAGGGGATTAAAGGAGTGGAAAAGAGAGGACAGGGGAGGAAAGGAGAGGAGAGAAAAGGACAGGGGACAATTGGAGAGAAAGGGAGACAAAAGGAAAGCGAATAGAGGAGAGAGAGAGAAAGCAAAGGAAAAAGGGAGCCAAAAGAAAGGGGTGGAGAGAAAAGGAGCTCCCCCGATTAGATGCCTACACTTTCAACTAGCATCAGGGCAGACCTAGCAACATACACTTTATTTAAATTCTGCCAAATCAAAACTTTAATTAAAATAAGCCAAAGACACCATTCCTGGTTAAAAGGAAAAAATGGGGTGTGGTTGAACAGAGTTACACTAGTTGTATGTGAATTAATCATGAACTTAGGTCAAGTTTTAATTAAAATAAATACTGTGACAATATTGACCATCAAAAAATGTTAACTTTGGTCCTTTGGTCTCCTTCAGACAAATTAGTCTAATATTAACTACAGTTAAGGAAGATACTACAGCGATAGCTAGCAGAGCACAGTCAGACGAAAATCCTTGGCCTGACAGAGAGCGAAAACAACCCTCCCCCACACAAGCTGCTTGTTCCAAACCGAGTTTTACAGCTCTCATGGACTAAACCATTACACGGTAGGGGTGTTTCCATCCGCATACGAGGGATCAATAAAGGGAATGCCAAAGCTAAGGCTCTCTTACCGATTTAGTGTCTGTAGCTAAAAGTGAAAAAAAAAAAAACACTCTTTACTGAATTCCATTCTATTTTTCCAAAAGTAACTTGATCCTAGAAAGCAGAACGATTAATGTAATAACAATTTTATTTTCTCCCCCTAGAATATGAAAGTCTTTGATCTTCTTATAAATGTGTAAAGATTCAATGAAATGATAATGTATCATAGCTAACAAAAGGCTAACAAGGTTAACAAAATACTAATGTGATCAACCAAAGGAAGTCTTGGTCGACTGAAGCTTTGAAATATCAACGCAATGCTTGGTAGCCTTGTTCGCATAAATTAATTAAACATAACCATAAGGTTGTTTGTCTATTTGCTTTATATTAACACACACTTACACACTTGAGTCTAGCGGCTCTGATGGCATTTTCCATTACGTGCATCTGCCCAATATCATAGCCCATGATTCCCGAAAATATAAAAATATGTCAACTAGTTATATTAGCACAAGAACTGTTGAGGACTGTTTAGATAATTGTTTTCATCATGTTTAAAATTCAGACACCACAACTGAATAACTGATAGGAACTCAGCTTCAGGGCCTAAACACCAAAAGATTATTATCATTTATCCTATTTATTATTTTTATCCTTAAACATCAAAGGCAAGTCCACCTTGAGGAAAAAAAATGTATTAAGCAAACCACATCAGAAATGAATTAACTAGTAGGCTTTACATCCAGCGTGGTGAGTGTATCTGAGTGATGCTGCCGTTGTTGCGGGTGCAATCTGTCTGTCTGTGGGTTGGGCTAATCCAAAATAATTAAAGCAAGGCGGGTGTTCTGAAGACAGACCTGTAAAACCAAGTGCTGTGAAAATACCCCCATTAGCACTTCTTAGCAGATAAAATTAACACAATATAAGATAAAAATTTTAAAAAATCAACAAAAATTGTAAGTCAAAACGTATTAACCAATAAATCAACCAGTTGACTGTGAGATCACCACAATAGAAAATATACCAATCTTCTTTTACTCCTTTGTTCATTCACAATCCAGTCTAATGACTTACTCGGGTTGTCATACGAAAGAACTAACAATTCCCCAACCTAATACGTAAACATAATGGCGGTAAAAGACAGGCAGTTCTAGATTTTACCCACCACGCTCCAGCACAAAATGCCCTCCCCTGTGTTGCGCAGTGAGTGGAAAGAATGCCTTTCAATGCATCCTCTACAAAGTTGTGAATACCTGTTGTTTCTTTTTATTCACATAGTCAATCTGTATCCGCTAAAGACTATGTTGATCTTGCAAAACAATTTTTTAATTTTTGATTATTTTCCGAGATACTACCTCCAACTTAAAAAGGGAAAAATATGAATGGATCGAGGAACGTTTCAGAGGAATATGAATTAAAAATACAACCTAAAGATAGATGACTAAAAAACACGAAGATTCCTACTTTGGTCAATCTTGCAACTGTAAAGGAAGCTTAAACTACGACTGAAAAATCTCGATAAGCTTTATGTATCCTCTCTCTAACAAGCAAAATAATGAGACAATGTCTTTTGTCACCCTTTGTTCTTCTTCCTTGTTAGCTTAATGTTAGTAACAACAGGGTCACAAAAAATCAGATGCCTGACTGTTAGGTCTCTTGAACTCTGCTGGGGTTTTCTCTATTTACTTTAATAGTTCATCTATGATAAAATTAATGGAGAATGGAAATGCAGGAAAAATGTATGTATGTATAATAAAACAAAATCATGTTTGCTTACAAAAGGTGCTATACACATAAGCAAAACAGCTGCCAGTTTTGTTGCCATCCCTTGTTGATTTTTTTCGTAAATTTGGTTGTTTTGTTCTTTGTGATAGAACCTTATTCGACAAATACATGTCGAAAACCTTCTCACCTCTTCACAATTACAAGTGAGCATTAAATTAAGTCTTTCCAGGTATCCACTTAATACTGTTTGTGAAAAGCAAATAATTATTTTTCTGGTTGCCCACAAAAGGGTATCATTAAGTCTTTTTCAAAAATACATACCCATTGTTTGCGAAACTGCCATAATTTCTGACAAGCCAAACTAAAGTTAGTATATTTTGTACCAAATATGACCCAAGAAATTCAGGTCTAGACATCTTCACCAACACACCTTTGCCCTGGTCATAGGATGGGAATGGACAACACTCTGATTACTCGCCATTTGGGGGTCGGAGGGAACCACTGTATTGACAGCGCACCGCTGTATTGACATCACAGGATTGGCACAATAATTGTTTTATTTAAATTGCCTTGTTTTCATGATCGTGGGAAGCCGAAATTGTAATGGAAATTTCGATGAACCGCCCAGCCTCTGCAATTTCCCAGCCTGTGATCAATAAAGTACATCTATCTATCTATCTATTACCACGCAATCAATCAACTTGATGCCAACAATGCGCAACACTCATACTGTGCAAGTCAACAAACAAGCCAGTGTCAGGCTAACCAGTAGTTTAGGTGCATTGACTCACATAGGGAGCCGTGAATGGGCATTGTCCAACCCAAAAGGTGAGGTGATGTTGCTGAAATTGCTTAGGAAGTTAATGATGGTGCTTTAACAAAGGATACATCAAGCATCACAACGCAGTTTGTTGCATATGGTGCTGCCAGCCTCACGTCAGTCATGTTGCAATGCTGACCCGAGTCAGCAAGGAACAAGTCAGGAACATGCATAAATATGGATAGCACACAGTTCTCCGCCCCAACACATCTTGGTCTAAACGCAAGGCCCAAGGCCTTGTAGGGGCAGGTTCCGTAGTCGTATCGTCACCAAACAGGGCCCTAGCATTTGCGGGTCACTCTTTTTGGAACCCAAAGAAACAGCCTGCACTACGGGAAGAAGGCAAACTGCAGGAGGCAGTGCAATGCTTGAACACATGTTCGCTGGGGAATCATGTGTCCTGTCATTGATACAGCTGTGGTACTTGATTGACAAGTACCAATATAAAAAATGTTACAGATCATGTGAAATGGTGGGAAAGGAAGGAATGGATTCCCTGAGGGCCTTGTCCCCTTTGGCAAAATGATATGCTTTGCCACAGAAAAATCGTTATTAGACGACCTGAAGGGTTGGCTTGGCCCCACAATTACTTGGCTCTAAATTTGAGTAATGTGGTTGGCAAACAAGTCCAATTCATTGACTTCATTCAAAGGATCTGGTGCGAATATCTTGATGTCAGATGACCTAACAACTAAGGGTGTAAGATAATATAAATATTGAAATATTGCAATACCACATCAACTCTACTCAGCACTGTATTGATATTTTTTATTAACAATCAAATACGGTTAATTTTACGTATTTAAACAATACAAACGTAGATCCCTCTGTTCCAATTATACTAACCTGACATTACCATGTAGCAGTATGGTGTGTTTACTACGCTGAAAAACTGAGTTTATCATCTTGCATATAGTATCGTAGTATATCGCAATACATTGCATTGTTGCCCCTGTATCTTAATACGTATCATATTGCCAGATTCTTGCCAATACACTCCCCTACTAGCAACACCTTCAGATGATTATTGGACTACACCTCTCAAGGGTCCAGGGAAGCAAAGATGGAAACAATGCAATATCAGAAACATGGTCCTAATATATTGGTGACAGTTTGATGGATGCAAACCACATGTAATTTCATATCACACCAGTTTCCATAATTTCTACAGGTTTACAAGAATGGAGGAACGCCAGTTTTCAACCTGACCAACAACCAAGTTCCTGGGTAACTGTGGCTTTTTTCACTTCCAGCAAATGAAAAAATTGCATTTCAATTAAATTTTTCAATAATAATTAGTGTAGTCTGTGGATTTGTTTTTAAAAGACTCTTCAAACTGACTTTCAAATGCTGTGTTTGAATAACCAATATATTTATAAATCAGGTCAAAATAGACCTGTTAAATAGTTTTCTCCCCACAATTTACAGCACGATGGGGAAAATAACTGCTGAAACAAGTTTTAATCAGTTATAATGGATGTGAAGTTATTCCAAAATTTAAGCATGGCGCCAAAAATTAATCAACTCAATTGTTATTATTTATTAATGAGTATACTAATGCACAGCACTGATTTTAAAAAATGCCTAAAACATCCCAGAATCTGTAATGCAAACATTAAGCGCAAAGAAGTTTTCTGGCAGACTTTAACAACACAAACTTCTGAAAAACAATTCTTAGGCTATGGCTGATGCAAAATCAATAATCAATTTTAATTTCATCATCTGAATTCTCATCTCATGGGGGAAATTAAACAGACATCTGCATGAAATGTCATCACGAAAGCTTTTTTTAAAAATGTAGGCGGAGCCTCTCAAGTCTG